ATACTCCAACGCTTAGGAATGATGGAAGCTGAATCAGTACCGAAACTACTTTCGCCTCATTAAAATTGAACAAGCGAAATAGAGCGAGCGCTCGGTCTATTTCGGCTCCAGATTTTTCGGGAACCAAAATGAACCGAACGCTTGGTCCATTTCGCTTCACTACTTTTAGTTGAAGTTTCGGTTGTATACTTTGTACACTATGTATATCTTTTCTTAATTCATTTCAATTCATAAAACTCAAAAATATTTTCCTTTCTGTTTTTTTTTTTAGAAAATTCATAAAATTCAAAAAGATTTTCCTTTCTGTTTTTATTTCTTTTTCAGAAAATTCATAAAACTCAAAAATATTTTCCAATCTGTTTTTATTTCTTTTTCAGAAAATTCATAAAATCCAAAAATATTTTTTTGTTGTTCTTGTTGCTTTTTATCAAAATTAGAAATACCAAAAATATCACTGAAAGGTATCATGGATCATTCAAATGATGGAGCTGGGACAGGTATAAATCTATTTATCTTTGCACTAGCTAAGTGTCCCTAGAAGCATGTTGCTGTATGTTGAACAAATCCTCAAAAACTTCAAGTGAAGCCCTACTGATTTGATATACACAAATCAAATCTTCCCAATCAGGCTGATAAAATCACTTATGTCATGAGCTACCTTACTCGTCTCACATTGAGTTGAGAGTTGTCTGCTCGGTCCTTTCTATATAGCAGAGGTACTTTCGGTTCTCTAACTTTCTTATCACTTTTCTCCATCACACTTCGGTTCATAATCATAACCCTTGAGACTCTCAGAATTTACCACTGAGTTTTATGGTTACACAACATCTGTGTTAATGATCTTAGCTTCATTTCACCACGTGCTAAGTGAAACCCAAAATCCAACACCTATAACAAATTGACGGTGAACAATCAAATGTTCTAGTTGTCACCCACGTATTAACGAAACCACTTTAGTGGAAGGTACCAAGAAATCTCTTTTTAATTTTTGTGCGATCTTTATGAAATTGTCTAACACCAAGGCTTTTCTTCCCATAAGATCCAATTTATTTTTGTTTTTGAGATTTCTACAAAACTCACCTAGTCACTGAAAATGATCAAACCAACTTGTTTTATAGACTACACCGGTCTCACAAGTACTTCATCCAACTTTCGGTCTTATATCAAGTTCCGTAGTTTGAATGAAGCGAAGTCCACCCTCACCACCTCATGAAGGTAACCGAAACTCACCTCCTCCTTCTCCTATACAATCGGTTCCTATTACCATTGCTCCGTGCCCACCTCCCATCTCATCTTCAACTACAACCTCAATTCCAATTCCCACCCCTTTTTTCACTGAAGTTACCACAACTACTACTACAACCGAACCTCACGTTCGTGTCAATGTATCTGAGACGAGGGCACCTACTTCAGAATCTGAACCCCCAATTACCTCATAACCTCTATCCCCACCTCCCTCACACGCATCTGACACTATTCTTGGCGGAGCAGAAATGGAATTTCATTCCGTCTATTTTAGCCCATATCAAGTTTAGAGCGATGATGATGGTGATGACGCTCCTGTCACGAAGAGGCATTTAAAGGATCTGAATGACAAGCTTGAATAATTACTTTCTTCTTCCTCTTCTACTCCAAGTGGGGTATACTCTGCAGCTGAAATCAAGGCTTTGTGGGCAACCTTTGTCAAGGAGCATGACACTTCCATTTCTAATGCTGTCAAAGCTATAGATGCTTCCACTTCCTCATGCCAGAAACCTTCTATTGCAGTTGATGAATCCACCAAAGATTGCAAGCAAGAGACCGCAAAACTCGAAAAACTAATTTCTGATGCTCAAGTTTTTCTTGATTCTCTTCAGGCTGCAGCTCAGAAGAATGCTCAAATGGTGAATGCTTTTGTTGATAATATTACCAGCTAGCTTCAAGCTGAAAAGAAGCACTTTGAGGAGGCACGTCAAGCTATCCAATATGCCAACACCGAGCTTCAAACATCTGTTGATGCCCGTCTTACTCAACTCGAAGTCGAACTAGCCGTGGAAAACAAGATAATGGATGAGCTAGATCGTCGAACTGCTCAGCTTAAAACTCAGAACTTGAAGCTCAAGATGGCAACCAAGGAAATTGATGAACTTAAGTCTGAGCGAGCAGTCATCAAGAGTTGTGTTGGTTATGTGCATTCCATTCTTTTAAATCTTCTGGACGCACATGACTCGGTCCTTACTATCTCGGTTCGACGCCACTTGGCTGAGAAGTTGAGACCTGCTCTAGACATTCTAAGCAGGATTGAAGGTGTTCCAGAGACCGTTGTCCCTCCGAAACAAGGGGGAGAAGATGTCAGCCAGGGTCAACCATAACAACCTCCAAAAAGCTTACCCATCACCCAACCAAAAGTCACTGCTGAACCCAAGCGTAATGAAGCTTCGGGCAGTATGAAGGACAAACGAAAGAAGAAAATTGGTGATAATGATGAGGTTGAAATCGAAGATGTGGTTGAAACTGAATAAAAAGCTTCAAAATTAAAGACCTCAAAATCAAGCGAACTGATCGAGAGCTTCAGGAAAAGCTTCGTAAAGCAAATGAAGAAGCTGAAAGGGAGAGGAAACAAAAAGAAGCGAACGGTGCATTAGAACGAAGGAAATCTATGTTCCCTCTATGGACGATGGAAAAAATTCTGAAGGAGGTAATTGAATCTCCAAGCACACATTGGCTCGAACCGGTCCTTTCATTCGATCTTGAGAATTCCAAGGATTCTCAATTTGATATGCCAATCACCCGAAAGGCGTTCATCTTTCATTGTTTCGAGTCAACATTTGCCATCCCTTCTCCTGACCCGAAGGTTGATCGAGACCTGATCGAATACTATCTTGCGTTCTCTCAACTGCAATACCTAACTTCGAGTAAATAGAAGATCACAACAGTCAAGGTGTTGAAACCCACTTCGGCAGGGAAGTTTATCAATATCAAATTCAAAGTGACCCGAGGCTCAGACAGTTCGGTTCATATGATCTCCCTAGCTGATTTGCCAAATTTGAATCCTCATGACTGGATTCTCCTGAATAATATTTTGTTGACTAATCAACAAGAGTATGAGCCTATCATCGATCACATCAAGCGAATGCCGGTGTGTTATATTCTTGAAGTCGCAAAGATGGATCAGGAGATCGCCTCTGCCTTAAGGAAGAAGCCCACTATCAAGCCAATTGGGAAGGCAAGCGAATTCAACGTGATGAGGAAGGGAAAAATCGACCCACAGTTTCACATAGTCATGTTCATCAGGGGCGAAGATCAAAAATGCATGTTCGTTCTCTTTGACAAACACATGTACTCCAATTCTTGCTTGGAGCATATTCTGAATATCATATACAGGTGCAATCAGAAGAGTGAAGATGATAAGAAGATGTTTTCAGATATGCTTCGGTGGTATATTAACTTTCGTCAAACTCTTCTTTCCATCATACCAAAGCTGTTCAAGACTGTGAAGAAAACCACTGTTACTCAACCGAAGTGATCTCTCGCCTCAATAGGCGCAAAGGGGGATATTGTTGAGTCTATGGGTTGCGCCATTGGATTTTGTTAGTTTATTCCAATGTACTCATGGTTTGGACCTGTCCAACCGTGTATTTGTTTTTAGGGTTTAGTATTTATGGTGCATGTATGCATCACATTAGATACGCTTCTTGAATATTTTCTTTAACAAGTACTATAACCCTAGGACACCTCTAAAGTAGAAGTTCTTCATTGATCTCTTCTGAGGTGTTGCTATTTTAATCATTCGACATCTGTTGGATTCATTGTGTGTTTGTTCTTTGGTTTGCTTTCTGTTTTATTTGTTAAGAATCTTATCGATCATAAAAGATTTTTCAACTCATCAACAACCACACAACATTTTATAATAACAAAACCTATGGACTCACCAATTTTATGTTGAGCTTTCATAACCACATGTATTCTGAGGAGAATGCACCCGAATGGAGAGGGAGGTAACCCCGATGATGCAGCCCGAAGTCTATACGCTTTACTATTGTACTTTCCTTTTGTGGCCTATTTCTACCTCGAACAATTTTGTAATATATTTTATCTTATGAATAAATAGTGAAGTTGTTTAATATATCAGTGTATTATTCAATGTATGTCTATAGCCAGAAATCCAAGATCCATAAGTCACACAGCCCAACATTTCCGCCGCCGGCCGGGCGTGTGACAGATTGGTATCAGAGAGCTTCAGATTATAGCGAACTAGTAATTCCTTAGGAAATACAACTATAATCTGGGGTACACTCTAATTAGGTTTAACCCTTTAAGCATAAATTAAAAAGTATTAATACTAATTACACTACTTCTCGACTACATACAGGAGAGGTGACTAGTTTGAAATAACGCTTGGGTTGTTGGATTTTAGAACGACTATATGCTAAAATGGTCTTACCATCTGATACTTCTCACCTGGTTGATCCTTATTTGATAGTCTTGGAGTACAAAACCCCAAAAATTAATAAATTATACCCAAACAAAAAAAAATTATAGATATAGAACAATATAAGTACCCTCATATAAATACTTCTACTACCGACAAACCTGAATCCACAAAATCACAAATCAGGATTTTAGGTCAAAAATCATGTTTACAATTGGTATAGTACAACAGTCGTACCACAACTAGACCTAGAATGCGCAACTAAGTTTTATTATGGTCCGGCCGACGCACGACCAAACTCGGATACAGTGTTTGGAAATCTAAACGCTTGAGGACTTTTGGATTGTATGCTTAGTTTCAAGGATTTTGCACTTGGAGATTTAATTTTTTTAGAGGCTTCTACATCTAAGGATTTCTGGCTTAATAACATCTACACTCGAGGATTTCTAGCTTAGGAACCACTATTCGTAAGTTACGACATAGTAGGGAGACTTAGGAGTTACGGGTATTATCTATTACATACCTATAATTGGATATTATATAGATTTTAATTGATCTTCACATCTCTCATAAACATCTTTCCTGTTTGATGTCTTATGCAGGTTTTTCTAAGAGTATAGCAGGCGTAGGATCGTGGAGTGCAGCTTCCCTACCAACGGAGGAGCCTGCCGTACATGGTGCTTTAGAACCTACCGACACCCCATCGATGATCATGGCTTCTGAGGAGGAGCCTACGAAGGACAATGATGACACCGAGATTGATTATATTCCAGCTAAGCACTTGTCCGATCCTGACTATACACCAGCTAACCACTCCTGCCCGGACCCTTCTAGCTCGTTCATTCACCAGACTACACACCAGCTGGACTTGAGCTTCTTAGCTCAGATTACGAGTCGGGCGAGAACGAGGAGGATATTTCTACCTCGTTGGAGATCTCACCACCCCTCCCCACTCCTTCACATCGCTTTCAGAGCTCACACTACTAGCACTCGGGTGAAGAAACCCCCAAGAAAGACTACGAATTTTCCCTCTCGGAAGAGAGCAGCATCCCCACCAACATCACCACCGCTAGAAAATAAAACGCGTCGGGAACCCACTAGATGCCCCAGATTAGCGCTTGGAAAAAGGAGGATGATATCAGATCGTGCTTCGAGGTAAGGGAGTCCTCTACCGCACCTACCCCTACCCCGTACACTATGATAGAGCATGTTATCTCCTTCATTGTACCACAGACCGCCCATCACTCAGATCGCATAGGATTGATGGACTCCGAGCTCATTCTTTTGAGGATGAACCTGAGGCAAGTAGCAGAGCGGGTATAATATCTTAAGGAGGAAAAGGATGTGATGGAGATGAGTACCCCTCATGTTCGAGACCAATTACAGGAGGTGAAGGATGAGGCTTAGTTTCATCATTAGGTGTTGGGGGTGGCGATCAGTCATAGTGACATGTTGGAGCTTCAGATAGGGAGGGTAGAGTCAAAGATTTCATTTTCGGATGTTTGGATAGATTATGTGTATAGACAGCTAGTTCAGTTGATGGCTCTTTTGATTGTGTATTGTGGATATTAGGTTGTTCCCTAGCATGATGGCTAGGATGGACACACTTATACTTTTGGGTTAGATAACTAGAAAAGCTCACTAAACATACTCATTTATTTTGTAACCTTGGAGATTTTCTTACTCTATCCACCCTTTTTTGGTGGTCACATTGTATGATATTATGATGCATAATATACTTATATGGTTGTATGAAATCTATCTTGTTGTTTTATTACTCTACCACTTCATTTAACACTAACAGCAACACACCATGACATAACCATATCCATGAGGATGCTACCTTACAAATGCGACCGAATAACTCACGTCTCGATACTAACTTTAGGGATTAAGAAATGGCACCCCCAAGAGTCACCAGATCCAACCAAGGTCTCTAAGTAGAGCAAGATGCTCAGTCTGCTCAGAGTAACCCACCTTTGGATCACGCGGCCGTTAAAGCCATGGTAGAGTGGTGAATAGCTGATGCTCTGGAAACACTTGAAAAGAATCGCCACACAAACTCTTAGATAGGAGTGGGAGGTGAAAGATCCCAAGGAAATAATCAAGGTGCTCCAAAGGCATGCACCTACAAGGAATTTATAAATTGCAAGCCTAAAACGTTCTATAGGAATGAAGGAGTCATAGGCCTCACAAGATTAATTGAAAATATTGAGTTTGTCTTTGAAATTAGTTCTTCTGCTGAAGGGAGCAAGGTGAAGTTTGTTGCTTGCACTTTCGCAGACACGACCATGTCTTGGTGGAACAACCACGTCAAGACCATGGGCCTCGCCAATGTTAATTCCCTAACTTGGGAGCAACTCAAGCAAATTCTCATTGAGGAATACTGGCCTCGGGAGGAAATGCAGCGATTGGAGCGAGAGTTGTGGAAGCTTACAATGAATAATCCGGACATCTCAACGTACGCCAATAGGTTCAATGATCTAACGACTTTTTGTCCTATATTTGTGAATGCAGAAAGTACTAGAAGGTTGAAATATACATATGGGGAATGGTTCAACCCATCCAAGGGTTGGTCACGGCATCTCGACCAACAACGTACGACAGTTCCAAGAGGTTAGCATACAACTTAACTAACCAAGAGATAAGACGAGACACTTTGGTCCGGAGAGATGACCTCCCGAAGTCAGGGGAAAACAAGTGCAAATCTAGAAATAGATTGAAGGGTACCTCCAAACAAGATCCAAGCAAGAGACATGAAACTATCAGGGAATACGCCGTCAATCCAGTCCCAACACCGACTACAGCCCCTACACCTCAAGGACAGTACGTGGGTAAACACTAGGAATGCAACTTGTGCCACTTCCACCACTCCAGAAACTGCATGCATTGTACCACGTGTAATCAAAGAGGGCACACCATCAAGAACTATAGACAGCCTACGGCTGCACTTGCCACCACAACTAACCTAGGGGTGGATGTCGTGCCAGATAATCGAGTTTGTCTCGAGTGCAGGATTACTGGACATATCTAGAGGAACTGCCCAAAGTTGAGGAACTATGGAGGAACCTCCATGGGAAGAGCGTTTGTGATTGGCGCAAAGGATGCTATCCAATACCCCATCGTTGTAACATGTACATTTCTTGTTAACGGTTTATACGCATCTATACTATTTGATTCTGGTGCTGAAAGAAGCTTTATTACACCTAAGTTTAGAGAACTTTTAAATCATAAGTCTAGAAACCTAGATGAGCCTTATGTAGTAGAAATGACCAATGAATAATCTGGTAGTACTTAGGAGATACTAGAAAACTGCCTTTTAACTCTCAACAACCTCATGCCGATAATCATCGGAAGTTTCGATGTCATAATTGGCATGGATTGGTTATCGCAACAACGAGCCGATATCTTATGCTACAACAAGGCAGTACGACTACCCTTACCCAACGGGGAATCCTTAGTGGTCTACAGAGACAAACCACGCAAAAACCTTATACTTATCACTTGCATGAAGGAACAAAATACATTCACAATAAATATCACGCTTTCTTAGCCCATATCATAGATAAGAGGGGTGAGAAGAAGGAAATGAAATACATGCCCCAAGTATGTGATTTTCCTGATGTATTTACAGAGGACTTTCCCGGAGTATCGCCAATTCGTGAGGTCAAATTCCGAATTGACCTAGTTCCAGGGACATCGCAAGTGGAAAAATCTCATTACCGACTAGCCCTTTCGGAAATGCAAGAGTTGTCTGGATAACTTCAAGTGCTTTTGGATAAGGGCTTCATAACACCAAGCTTCTCACCTTGGGGAGCCCCGAAGCTATTAGTTAAGAAGAAGGATGGAACCTTCAGAATGTGCATCGATTATAGGGAGCTGAATAAACTAACGATCAAGAATAGATATCCACTCCTAAGGATCAAAGATCTACTTGATCAACTACAAGGATCCAACTTCTACTCAAAGATTGATTTAAGGTTAGGGTACCATCAACTTTTATTACAGGAAGAAGACATCCCAAAGATAGCATTTAGGACTGGGTACGACACTACGAGTTTTTAGTTATGCCTTTTGGTCTAACCAACACTCCAGCAGTCTTCATGGACCTGATGAACCCTGTTTGTAAACCCTACCTGGATAAGTTTGTGAACGTATTTATTAATGACATATTGATATACTCACGAACAGAAGAAGAACACGGTCAGCATCTCCTAATCATTCTGGATTTTTTTAGAAGAGAGAAATTGTACGCAAAATTCTCAAAGTGTGAATCTTGGATCAGAGAATTTCATTTTCTACGATGTGTAGTCATCAAAAAAGGCATTCACGTGGACTCGTCAAAGATCAATGCAATAAAGAACTGTGAAGTGCCCACAACACCAACTGAGGTGCGTAAAATGTTGGGATTGGCAGGCTACTGTAGGAGATTTATAGAGAATTTCTCGAAAATAGCCAAACCTCTCACGACACTTATGTAGAAGGACACGGAGTTCGAATGGAAAGAACAACAAGATTCCGCGTTTCAGAAATTGAAAAACATGTTGTATAGTGCGACAGTTCTTTCACTTCCGGAAGGAACCAAAGACTTTTTCGTCTATTGCGATGCATCAGACCAGGGCATGGGATCTATACTTATGCAGAGAGACAAAGTGATCACATATACTTCATGTTAACTTAAGACTCATGAGAATAATTACACCACTCATGATTTGGAATTGGGAGATGTAATTTTTGCCTTAAAGATTTGGCGACACTACTTGTATGGCACGAAATGTATTATATACACCGACCACAAAATTCAACAGCACATCTTCAATCAAAAGGAACTCAACATGAGACAACAATGATGTATGGAACTGATCAACGACTACGAATGTGAGATTCGATACCACTCATGCAAGGTTAACGTGGTAGCCGACACCCTAAGCAGAATGGAACGAGCCAAGCCTCGTAGCGTGAAAGCACTTACCTTGACTATGTAGTCAAACCTTCATGCCCAAATCCGAGAAGCACAAATAGAGGCACTTAAGGAAGAAAACAAGACAGGTGAATGCATGCGGGGAATGGAGAAGAAATTCGAGTCCAAGGAAGATGGAACTTTACGTTTCATGGAGCGAATCTGGGTACCAAAACTTGGCGATATCAGGAATCTAGTTCTGTATGAAGCTCATAGGACAAGGTACTCAGTTCAGCAGGAGCTGATAATATGTATCTTGACTTAAAGAAGAGGTATTGGTTGCCGAACTTTAAAGCAAAAATCGCCACCTACGTGAGCAAATGCTTGACCTGCGCTAAAGTCAAGGCGGGATACCAGAAACCCTTGGGTTTACTACAAAAACTTGAGATACCTGGGTGGAAATAGTAGCAAGTCGCCATGGACTTCATCACGAAACTAACCAAGACGTCTGGTGGTTACAACACGATTTGGGTAGTAATCGATCGTCTGACTAAGTCTGACCATTTCCTACCCATCAAATAGATGGATTAAATGGAAACGTCAGCTAGGACTTACATCAAAGAGATAGTACGGCCATACGGCATACCTACATCTATCATATCGGACATAGATAGCAGATTTACGTCCCGGTTCTAGCAAACAATGCAATGGGCATTGCGAACCCGACTCGATATGAGCACTGCCTACTACCAATAGACTGATGGTCAAAGTGAAAAGACCATAAAAACGCTAGAGGATATGCTGAGATCATGTGTGATAGAATTTGGAGATGCTTGGGATATTCACCTACCTTTGGTTGAGTTCTCTTATAACAACAACTATCACACCAACATAAAGGTTGCACCCTTCGAAGCACTTTACGGCAGAAAGTGTCATTCGCTGATATGTTGGGCAGAAGTCTGTGACACTCAACTAGAAAAGCGACACACAGGGAACACTTTGCTAACTGGACCATAAATTATTCACGAAACCACCAAGAAGATCATGAAAATCAAAGAACGATTGAGAACGGCTCGTGATCGTCAAAAGAAATGCACTGATTTTCGACGAAAACCACTTGAATGTCAAGTTGGGATAGATTCATGCTAAGAGTATCTCCTTGGAAGGGAGTTATAAGATTTGGAAAACAAGGCAAACTCAACCCGAGATACATAGGACCTTTGGAGATCCTTGCCAGAGTAGGCCCGGTAGCCTATCGACTCTCATTACCTCAAGAACTCAACAACGATCACGATGTCTTCCACGTATCAAACCTGAAGAAATGTCTCTATGAGGACACACTAGTTATACCTCTTTACGAAATCCTGATTGATACAAAACTCAACTTCGTCGAAGAGCCAATCGAGATCATGGATCGTGAAGT